TTTTTTTTTTTTTTTTTTTTTGCAGTACTTGGGATTAAACCCAGGGCTTTTATACTGATCTATACCACCAGTCCCCTCTCCCCTTTTTAAAATTTTGAGACAGGGTATCAATAGATCTGGATAGAAGGTTCCCCAAGAATCTGGGCATGGTGGCATCTGTAATCCCAGCACTTGGGAGGCTGAGGCAGGAGGATCACCCTGGGTTTGAGATCAGCCTGGGGTACATAGTGAGTTTAAAGCCTGCCTAGACTACATAGTGATACTCTGAGAAAGGAAAGGACAATGTTATGACTTCGGTTTAGCTGTCCCCTCAAAGCCTCATGCCCTCATAGATGGGGCTTTTCAGAGGTGACTGGATCTAGAATGTGATGCTGGTATCAGATCAAGGGTGTGTGATTACTAAATGAGTCCACTAATTAGTACGTCACAGTTTTGGGAGTGGATAAAGAGAAGGCCCTTCCTGGGTGTGAGTGCTACACCCTAAGGGTGAGCAGCCTGCACAGAAAGAGGGCTGCTGGGGTCTATTGTTTCTGTGTGGTATTTCACTGCTTTGCTGCCTTCTGCCTGCCACGAACTGTTTTTCCTCTGCGACGCCCCTCTGTCATGCCACCCTGCCTTGGAGCCAGCCAACGACGTAGGAACCGAAATCTCTACAAACTGTCTTCTTCTTCTGAGTGTCAAATATTTTGTCTCAGCAATGAGAAAAGGAAAAGAAAAGGGAATCTCCCCAGGTGACTGAACAGGAGGGCCATGGTTACATATGAGAAACATTGAAAGCAGTAAGAATTAGTGATATTCATCTGAAGAAAGGAGGAATAAAGAACTATAAAGGCTCCAAGATTTTACCCTACTCGCAAGGTAGTGAGCCTCAGACTCACTGATGCTGGTGGAAGACACGAGACTCCTGGGTCACAGAATGAAGGCCAATTTATTACTGATAGTCACAGCACCCACGGAGCTAACGTCTTGAGCCTCAATTCCCACATGCCTGTGTAATGAGGGATACTACAAGTTGCACTACAGAAGAGAAACTCAGTCTAGGAAACTAGAATGTTAAAGGATAACGGGGAGTAAGTCCCCCAGACCTTTGCCTGGAGGGAGACATTATTTCTACATTCCAAAGCTGTTCACCTCAGAAACATCCTTGATTAAAAAAAAAAAAAAAAAAAAAGTCAGGAAAAGGCAGAAAGTGCTTCTGCTCTCAAAATATGCAGGAGCACGGTACATGTGTTTCCTCCTAGCAGAGACCAGGGCTGGAAGAGCGGCAGGTGGAAGCGACCTTACATCTGAAGGCTGTAAAATAATCCCACTAAAGCAGGAATGGAAAGCTGGAGAGATTCTGCTCACCATTGGTGGCAAGAGTTCAGCGTGTTTCTAGTTCCTTGAGCTAACTTTGCTTAAATTCTTAATCTCTGTTTTAATGGGGCCTTGTCTTTCATGCGCATTTTCCATATTTTTTTCACTCTAATCTTCAATGTGTCATGGAGATAAGAGGTATTACAGCCATTTTGCTCACGAGGAACTAGATCTTGACATTGTGAGTTATCACTACAGGCCAAGAACCAGTTCCTGTCACCACCCTTTTTCTTCAAGAGCTTCCCTCAGGCTAGAATAAGAGCGGCCAGAACGCGTAAACAACGAATGCTGGAGGGACTCGTCACTGAGAAACCATTACCAGCTCTAAGGGGTGAAGCCACCAACGGCGCCTTACGAACCTGCCACTATCTCGGAACGGGGAGGTTAAGATACCCGCTTTCTCCCACCTCGCAGGTCTGAAATTTCCAGGGCCTGGTTAAGGAAAGGTTTTCTAGACTTCACTTCCACTTTAAGCCGGAACGGCCGTCCAGAGACAACAGGGCCACGGCGCGCTAGAGAAGATTCTTCCCGGCGCCTATCAGCGGAAGTGGGGCGGAACTGTTCCAGCACGCCCCTCACGATTGGCCAACGCTGCCGTCGCTCAGCGGTCCGACCGGAAGGGGCTCGGCGACGCCCTTCTGGGTTTCTAACCGCCAAGAGGGTGGGAGGGGCCGGAGTGAAAGTTGCAAGACCCCGCCGCGGTGGCTATGGAGTTGAGCCCGGTCGCTTTGCCCGGGCCCTCTGGCTCCTTCAAGGAGGAGCTTCTCTGCGCGGTCTGCTTCGACCCCTTCCGTGACGCGGTGACGCTGCAGTGCGGCCACAACTTCTGCCGCGGGTGCGTGAGCCGCTGCTGGGAGGTGCAGATGACGCCCTCCTGCCCGGTGT